AAGAGGAGGAGACGAGGGGGGGAGGGAGGGAAGGGGGGGAGGAAGTTTCTCAGAGAACTCCTCCGACCTTCGACTGTTCTCTTGTTGTCGACTGGTCCAGGTTCTACTGACATCATCACTCTCTCACCACAGAGAGTGACGTCACAGCTAATGTTAGCTAACGCTAAGCTAGTTTTAAATTTGTTTTCTTATTTAGCCGTTTTTGGGTCTGATATTTTTACAGATATTTCCAGCTCTTCAAGCTAATTTACAGCCAGTGTCGGATGTTTTAAGAACTTTTTTTTTTCTATATGTTTTATCTTTGGACTACGAGTTAGCTAAATGTGGCTAACTGTTAGATAGCTCCTGCAGTAAGCTAACTTAGTTTGCTATCTGGGCTAGCATTCGGTTAATATTCATAAAGCGCATGCTAACTGAAGCTAACTCGAGCGCTGTGCTAACATACAACGAGTGATGAGACACGTAGCATCTGCGCAGCCACAGAGGCATTAGTTGTTACCATGGCAACAAAGTGGAAAAACAAAAACAAAAATTGGAATTTAGAAGAAGAATGAACCCCCCCCCGCCCCTAAAAAAATGTTTGAAATGTGCGTTAAATATTCAACAGAACCACATGTGACACAAACCTACACACTGGTGCCCGACCGACTGACCGACCGACCGACCGACCGAGTCAACGACTGTTCCCAATCGGACAATAAAGTCACATGACCTCAGAAACACAGCTCCTCTTTTGACTGGATTTTGTCAGCGCTCTTTGTTCCTGGCGGAGGCGGAGACGTTCCCGACACAAAAAAACCCTCCGTCTGCACAGACGCCGCCTTTGTACGAAGGTCAAGGTTTCTCTTGTTCCACGGACATTTCTGTTTCGCCTTCTTAAATATTTGTGGCTTTGGAAACGACCGGAGTCAACGTGAGCTTTGTTTTTGGAGGCGGAGAAATTTAAAAAAAAATTTAGAAAAATCATTCAGGGACATTTAGGGTGAGATTTTTGTATGAATCATAATAATAAACATTATTTAAAATGTTTTTTCATTTCCTTTCGCTGCTTCTTATTGTTTCATATCGACTTTGTTTCTAAATCAATTCCAACAGTTTGACATCATTCTTATTGTACTTGTTCTTGAAGTTAAAATATTTTGTGATAATTTTTTAAATTTTTTTTTTTTTTTTTTGGTTGAACTTCTTAATATACGACGTGACTCTGTATAATCTGAAGATCCCTGGTCTTTGAACCCGGGGTCAGTTTTCTCACTGTTGAATTTTGAGTAAATGTTCCGATCGGATCGTCACCGTCTGGGACCTGGAACCGCGGGTTTGATACTCGAACAAACTGGGTGCAGCAGAACAGCTGCTCCACAGTAGTTTTATTCTCTCACACAGCTGCCTGTTGTGGCTAAAAACAAACATTGTGACTCGGACAGATGCTAATCACGCACACACTCGGTCGCCACGGCGACAGACGACAACAACAACTACAGCGAACGCTGGCAGAGAAAACTCTGAAGAACAGGTCTGAAGATCGGAGCGTTATTTGGCAGGAAACCAGTCGTAGTAAAAGGACGGAGTAGTAAAAAAGTACAGTCGGTGTCAAGAGTTTTTTTTTTTTGTTTTTTTTTAAGTGTGGTCACATGAGACGTAGGAAGTGGAGCTCTGGTAAACATATATAAATATATATATATAATTTTTTTAAAATGTGTTGTTTGCTCATAAAGACTGTGGAGCAGCTGGTGTTACAGTATACTGCCCCGTGTGGCCTGTTTTATATCTCTCTCTGGTCAATGCCAACAGATAATTTTTTTTTGTTTAAATATTTCATTATAATTTTATTTTCAATCCTGTAGGATCTGTAAAAAGGTGGACATCTAACCCACTGAGCCACAGACCGGCGTCAGTGACTCATCATAAATACTCCTAGATTTTTTTTTTTGTCTTTTTGTTTTGGAACTACACCTTTTTTTTCCTTCTGTCTCCTTTGGACCACAGAGTAAAAAAAAAAACTCTGAACTGTCCCTTTAACAGTGTCTGTGTGTGTGTGAGGACTTTACAGAAATGCTGTCCTTGGATCCGTCAGGTCTGTACGTCCAGGAGAAGGTGACGTCGTCTGAGGTCCAGCGCCAGGAGAAGAAGGAGCAGGAGAGTCTGACGTCGGAGCCCAGCAGGGCGTGACGTTCCCAGCCCGTGTAGATCACGATGGCCTGGGACGGATCTGGAACTGGGGGGGGGTCAGAGAGGGGAGGGGGTCAGGATGATGTCACTGATGACAAACTAAACAAACTAAACACAAGGCAGGGTTTGAAGCGTGTTCAAGCACTGGTTCGCGGCCCAATCGTGGCGCGCTGACAAATGTTGTGCGGACGTTGAGGGTTTTTTTTCTCCTTTTGATGATGCCGTTAAATAAAAAAAAGTTTTTTTTTTTCTTTATTTAAGTCCACAAATTCTTTTAGGTTTAAGTTTGTGATTTTTTTTTAAAATTTTTTTTTGGCAAATAACTCAACAAAATCTTTTAGGTTTAAGTTTGTGATTTTTAAAGAAAATTTTTTGGCAAATTTGCCGAACTTTCCTCACTTTCAGGTTTGTATTTTAGTAATTACTGAATTTTTATTTATCACAATTATTGTTGTTGTTATTACCCAACCAAAGTGTGTCTCCCCCTGGTGGCCGGTGCTGGGGTTTACCTTTTTAAAACCATTGTAGCTAACTTCTCTGGTTAATACTTATATTATTTTCACAATTTTATTTTTGTAAACATTAAAGCTTTTTTTGCTAACATTAAGCTTCTTAACTTTAATCAAACATAAGTCAGGTTTGTGTCTGAACATTGAGAGTTTTTTTTTTTTTCTCTCTACTGAATGTTAGCTATTTTGGCTAACGTGTTTTTATTCCTCCATCTTCCTGGTCTCATCTTTCCAGATTGTTTTCTTTACATTTTTGTGCTGACAGAGAGTCCAGTGTCCTGGGACGACCTCTGAGCGCAGCTGCACCGTGACATCACTTCTCCATTGTTCCCAGGGTCAGTGAATGCATCACAGTACTGTGAGGGCACTCTCTCTCCCCTCTCCTCTCTCTCTCCCCCCTGACTCCCCCCCCCCCCCCCCCCCCCCCCCCCCCCCCCCCCCCTGTCCTGTGACAACAACAGTGAAGTTTGGAGTTTTATCTCGGTGTCTGTGAAGACAGCTGACATTTTTAATTAAAAATCCTATCAAACACGTCAGCGACGTCAGAGGAGGAGGAGGAGGAGGAGGAGGTGCTGCAGCGTCTGGTCCAGGTGGAACGCAGACTACGTCAGTCTCCACCTCACAGCTTCAGATGGACATGTGACCTGTCACGGACCATAATGCACCTGGAGGTGGCGTCTGTGAATGGGCCGTAATTGAATTTTTGCAGAAGGTCATTTAAGGTCGCTGACGAGGCGGTGAATTAACTTTGGAAATGTTTATTATGTTCCCGTTCTTTGTGTTTTTTCGACCCGTTATCACTAAAGTTTGAAACGCCGTTTCTCAAACGGTGGCTGGAGACCTACATGGACGTCACTGTGACCCACGCGGTGGGTCCAGGGCAGGAAAATACCGGTTCAGTCCAGATGTTCAACAGAAACTCTTGACGGTTTTTAACTGCGAGGCATCGCCTCTGTGACAGCTATGTCGCCCCCTACTTGTCTAAACTGAAATTGCACTCACATTTTTAATGGTAAAGTTTTTGGTTAGAGAGTTATATTTGAAAATAAAAAGTTATTTATTTATTTAACCAAGGACTTGGTTTGACTGTGAGGTCAAAGGTTTTGACCTCAGGATGACCTTATAAACACTTGGATAAAATGATTCATAAAAAATATATTTTTATTTCTTATCTTAAGGTTTTTATATAGTTATTAAAAAAACGTTTTTTTTTAATAACTCGTCGGTCGTTGTTGACATTTTTACAAATTTTTTACACTTAATTCAAACATTTTTTCTAATCCCTGAAGATGAATTATTTAATTTAATTTTTTTTTTTTTAGTAAAAAAATGTCTAAACATGAACATTATCAGTGACAACGGTCGGTTTTATCAACAGAAAATGTCAAAGTTCAGTTTCGTGAACATTATCAGTAACAACTCAACAGAAAATGTCAAAGTTCAGTTCCTTGAATTAACATAATAATAATTTTAACATTTAAAATAAAATTTAAAAAAACTCAACCTTTAGATTAACAATGTTCAATCAGTAAAGACCTTCGTTGACCTTTAACCCCCGTCACAGAGTTCATTAAAAACTTCATAAAAATGTCTAAAAAAGTTAAACATATTTGTTTGACTTGATGAGTTGTGTTTTTTTTTCGTTACCTATTCCCAGGAGGACGACCGACGCCAGCGCCAAGACGGTCAACATGTCTGCGTCTCCTGCTGCGCTCCCGTAGACCGACGAAGGAGATTCCTGCTCTGAGAGGAAGAGCGAGTGGAAGGAGGAGAAAAAAGGAGCAGAGTGGAGCGGATGGACGGACGGCCGGAGGACAACAGGAGGACAACAACAGAACGGCCTCTGTCCACCCGTTTATATCCAACCACACCCCTCCGACAGGAGCCGCCCGGCCCATCCGTCCGCTCCGGCCCTCCCCCCCCCCA